GGAGCTAGGGGTGGGGGTGGGGGTGGAGCTGGGCTTTGCAAGATGGATTGGATGAGTTGATGAGAGGGCCTGATTTGAGATTACTGGAGAAGAGAGATTTGACCAGAGAAAATAGAAACCGATTAAGGAATTAGTAGATTTATAGAGTACCCCCTCTGCATCTCGGCACACACGTTAGCCCCTTACTTCCTTGTAAGTCACAATCTATGGGTAATGATGATGGACAGAATGAAGAAAGGGCCTTAACCTGGGTAGCTTTTTGTATGCCTTTATTGCAAATGGCCCAGCAACAGGTGTTTTCTTAAAACAAAGCATGACTTGGGTTGAGCCCTTGTAAAATGTCTACTGCTGGATGTTGATCTGGAAGATGGTGGGTATGGTGCCCCTTATCTGGAAATAAGGATTTTGCAATGACTACGGCCATTTTTATGGCATGCATTTGCTAGTACATTTCATCGGTTTCCCAGTGTAAGGGCAGCAAAACATGAATCCCATTGGCTAAAGACTATACTCTATTTGACTATAGTAGGTTGTGATTGGCTGAATGGTTTTTAACTGTAGAGTTTGTACCAGAAACTGGCTTCATCAAATTCAGCTTTATTCTGACTTTATCATACACAGTAGACCTTGTTTTAGTGGATTCGTTCTTGGACCTTAAGTATATTATACTTGAATCCCCTACCATTTAAAAGCCAATTTATAAACAGTGACTTGGAGTGTGACTCCACTAATGTGTGCCTGTGATCTTGGTTAGAAACCCACTTGGCTGACTGTCGGCAGGTGCTGAATGGGGGAAGGGAGCTGCCGGGAAGTGATTGATAAGGTTTCCTTTATGGATTCTGTGGTGCTTCACTGGAGCTCAGAGCACTTTGGCAACTTAAGCACTCCAAATTAAAAGCTCATTAACAATTCCTGCCTGAAGATCCTGTAAATAATCAGCTAGCTAGGTCATAGAGCTTGGGTAAGAGCTCTCCCTTTTACTTGAAATTTCCAAATAGGAGTGCTTTTATTCCCTTTTATTTTGGAAAGTTTTCTCTGTGAGGGGATAAGTTGGGGAGTGGTCTGTTCCCGGGGGATCAGGATAGAATAAAGTATTAAGTGTGTAAGTGTGTGGGATGGCAGACAGGAATATATTGGTTCTAATCGTAGATGTTTGTGCTCAGGGCTTCACTAGCTTAAAAGATCATGTCTGTGGTTTCTGGTCCTTCAGAATATCTGAAGGAGGTGATAAATATTCCTTGACCCTTTAAAAAACTTGTAATTTTTTAGATGGTCTTGGTGTGTAGCCCTGTCTGGCCTCTTCTACGTGTGCCAACCATGCTTGGCTCCCTTGGTATGTTGATTTAGGGTTTGGCTAGCTTGATTTACTTAGAATTTGAGGCGGACTTGGAAGTATTTTGAAAGTGTTTCCTGATCTGTGTTTCCGTTCCAGTTACTACCTATAGGTTTGTGGCAATGAACCCTTCTCTTCAGGCCTGGCTCAGCCCCAGTTCCTGAGTTCTGAATATTGCTAACCTTGTGTCCTTGTCTGATAGGCTTCTGAAATTGTCCAGTGAGCACCACTTCATGACCATCTTTTTTAGTTGCTGCTCAGATATTATGATTATTTGGTATTTCTAGAAGATAACTTAGGGAGAACAATATATCAGAGAACATGAAATCTGTATCTCATTCATGTATGTATATATATATCAGTCAATAGCATCTGAAGGGTTAGTAGGGCCATTGTCTTTCCACAGAGATAGTAATATCCCAAAGTTCGGATTTATGAGTTTGAGTTAAAAGTGACCCTTAATGAGGGTTTAAACCTTTGAATTGAAATATACCTGTTGCAGAGATGTGTGTTTGTCCACAGCATTGGGGCTTTCCAGCTCTCACAGACCCTTCAGCATCTCCAGCTGCCAGTCTTGGCATCTTCGAAGTAAGGAGAGGTGAGAATCCTGTTGCATGCTCTTGTTTGGTGTCTGACTGTTTGGGTCTGGTGGGTATGGGATGGGGGCTGGTGCAGATTGCATTTTCTGTAGCTTCTGATAAGATAGCATGTGTTCATACTTACTGAAACTGAAATTGACCAAAATCTTTAGAGTAAGAGTTGGAGGTGAGTAATCTAGACGCTGCAGTTCTGTCATGATTTGCTTTTTTTTTTTTTTGGTCTCCTCAGTACTGGGAATGAACAGCATGCCACCATTGAACAGTACTCCTAGTCTGTCTGTCCCTTCCTTCCTTCCTTCCTTCCTTCCTTCCTTCCTTCCTTCCTTCCTTCCTTCTTTTTTTAAGCTTATATTTGATCTTAACTAAATAGACCAGATGGGTCTCATACTTGTAATCCTCCTGCTTCAGACTATCTCGTAGCTGGACTTACAACCATGGACTACCATGCTCAGCCATGATTTCTTTAATAGATACGTCATGAGTACCTCACCTTTAGGGTAATTGAGTAGAACTAAAATAGCTCTATATTCTGAGATATACTCAATTTAACAGTAAGACCACCTCACATGGCTCTTGTGATGGATTTGGGTGTGAGTTGTATGTCACCGTTGAATGAATGGTTTGTTAGTCCCTACCTACTTCCACCTGGACTGACTAAAAATGGTGGACATTTGATGATTGCTATCCAGGGATTTGGGAGTCATCTGTTCAATAACTAAGGCCCAGACATTTTGCTAGTTGGCTGGGATTATAACAACAAACAAGACTGCCCATGATATCCAAAAGCTTTCAGATCCATAGGAAAGACTAGTAGTAATTCAGCAATTATAATATACCCAGTAACTAAAGTAAGGGACCTAAGTTCTATGGGACTACTGGAGTGACCTTGACCTGGACTTGTAGACTCTGGGATGACTTCTTAGAGGAATCAACCTCCTTACCTATAATCAATAAACACATGAAGGACCAAGTATCAGAGCTTTGTTGACTTTGAGGAAGTTCAGTGTAATTAAAAGGCAGGTGGGAAATGAAGCAGGAAGGTGATCAGAGGCTTGAAACTCTGGTTAAAAAACAAAAAAACAAACAACCCCCCTCCTAAAAACTGGTTAGATGGTGGCATGAGGGTGGGCAGGTGGGGGGCAGTTAAAAAGACTAAAGTTTACCAAACTTTCCTAGAAAGGACAAGAGTAGATATTTAGTCATTGTGACTCTTTTACAACTATACAGCTTGTAGTGTGTATTTCAGCAGCTGTGGATGGTGTGAAAGTGAACATGACTATGTTCTAGTAAAAATTTACAAAAGTGGGTGGCAGCTGGATTTGGCCCATGGGCCATAGTTTGCTGATTTCTAGATCAGAACAGTAAGGAGCCACTGGAAGGTTGTAAGCCTCTCAGGGTGGTGGTATATGCCTATAATTGGGAGGCTAAGGCAACAGGGTTGCTAATTCAAGACCAGCCTGTGCTACATAGCAAAAGAAAGAAAAAAATGGAAGATTATGATTTGGAGGTTTGTGTTGTAGAAAGTTGTTTTGGTATCAGTGTGAAGAATGGATTGAAGGGGAAGATAAAACTAGAGGTGAGAGAACAGTAAAGAGTCTGGGGGTAGTAGTTAGTGTTCCCCTTAGTGGCAGTCTTGTGGTCCTTAAGGACCACACTAAGTATAACTGACTTTGTGTATGTATGTGTGTTTGTGTGTTAGTATTAATTCTCTTCACTAATTTCATGCCTGTCTACCAAAGAATTTCTTGGAAATGTTAGCCAGCTACTGTTTCACAGATTGGGAAAGATAAAGAGTTAGCATACAATGAATTGAAATGTTTTGGAAACTATTTTCTGTTGCAGGAAGTATAACCTGAATGGGGCACTTAAAGGTGACTTCATTTTAGAGTTCCTAGCTTAATAGCTAGGAACTGTTTCTGCTATACATACAGAAACTGACCTGTGTTCCTAAGCATTCTAGGCAGTCATCCTCATCCTCATCCTATATGTCCTACTTGGTCTCTTCTTTCCTTGCCTATAGCAGGCTGATAACCTATGCCTGATTTTGGAAATGTCTGCCAGATCAGGTGTGGTGGTGTGTCTCAGGCAGGAGGCTAATAAATTTGTTGGCTAAGTGTATAAAGTTTAGAGTCAGAATTCCACCCTGTTCTTTCCCTCTCTTTCTCTTCTGTGAGCCCCAGTTTACTTGAAGTGATGGAGGGAAGCCCACAGATTTTTGATAGTGGTGTTTCTGTGACCTTGGACAAGTCTCTTACCTCTCTGAGTTTCACTTTGCTGTCTAAAATGGATATGGTGGGATTTAATAGCATTGTTTAAAGCTTTAATGATATAGAGGAAGCTCTTAGTAGTGCATAGATATTGTTGTTTGTTTGTTTGTTTAATATTTAGATAGGCTTTCACTATTGGTGGCCTGGAACTCTATGTAGACCAGGCTGTCTTCTGTCTCATATAGATCTGTCTGCCTTTGCCTCTCCAGTGCCAGGATTAAAGACGGGAGCTACTACTAATATTCTGCACAAAAGCAGGAAGTAGTTGGGTGATTCGAGTTTTGGCTTTTTAAGCTTTGAGTCCACACACTTTTCATTGTGTTCATATAGTAAAAGCTTAGCTGGCCTACAGGAGGCAGTTATAAGTAAAGCAAGACATGATTTTTCACCTTGGAAAATTTGCACATAGTACAAGTTCCATAGTCCACACACCATCAGTAAAGTGAATGGATTAAGCAGCTTCCCAAGACTCCCATGTTACTAGCCTTCCTCCCTGTTTGGGATCATTTATTAGTGTTGTCACATTACTGCCTTGCATCTCTGTAAAGTGCCTCTTGAATGTTTTTGTTACTTTTCCCTTCCACTCAGAAAAATGAGTCATGTGCTCTGTTTTGGTTTTCTTGCTACCATGTGAGGACTCCTGGGTCAAGGAGGGTTGAATTGAATTGCCCAAGATCACAGCGTAAGGTCCTGTTAAAGCCAGTGCGGATTCGACTCCAGATGAAACGGTGCACGTTGATTGTTGTGATTTCTCTTCCCTTGAGTGAGAGATGCATAGTCATTGTAGTGTGTGATGATGCCTTATCCATTCTGCTGGACTTTGTTTGAATCCTGCTTTATTTATTTGGTTCTGTTGGGTTTTAATTGATGATTTTGAGGCACAGACCTGTTGGGAAGCAGATTCCCTTTGGGTTGTTGTTTTTAGCTTCTTCCTCCTTTGGGGGACATTCCTTGGGGAACCTTGGGTTAGGAGGGATTGCTTTGATATGTTCAAAATTGTGCCTTGTGCCCCACAGCTACAGGTAAAATCAAAAGGCAGATAATTTATGGGAGTGTCAAAGCTGGCCGCTGGCACCTCAGAAGGCTATTAGTATGCCTGTTCAGACCCTCCGTGTCCTTGCCATTGATTCCTTTTTGCATGAGTCTGATTTGGGAAGCTGTAGATCTGTGTGCAGTGATTGGATGTGACAGTCCAAACACCGGACCTTAAATTAATCCTTTTAATAGTATTCCTGCACCAAGGCAATATTCTCTCTCTCTCTCTCTCTCTCTCTCTCTCTCTCTCTCTCTTTCTCTCTCTCTTTCTCTTTCTCTGAGGGAAAAATGTGAGAATGGCAAAAAGGGATGGAAGGAAGCTAGCTAGCTAGCTTTGTTTGGTGTGCTTTGGTATGCTCTGTCTAGCATGTTCTACTTCTAGAGTAATTGGCATCATGGCTTTGGGCATATTAATCCATTTAACAAGCCTTTACTTTCTTAATTGTGCCTGATTATATGCTGGGAGTAAAGAAATGAATAAAATGTAGTTGCTGCTTTTAAGAAACCAACTCTGTTGTTTCCAGATTTCTAAAACTCATGTGCCATTTAGATTAAAACTCAGTGCTTCTCTTTTTAAGCTGTGTGAAAATTTGAGATGCATGAAAGTGCCTAACAAAAAAAATAAAGTTTACAAAATATGCTTTTTATGCACACATGGATGCCTCTTTCTACATGCGCATGTATGCAGAGCTCTGTTGCTGCCCTCTATCTTTCCTCGTGGAGTCTTTGAAAATTGTTAGTAGCAGAAGAGACAGGTACTTAGTGTGTCATATAGTGAGAAGATAAAAGTCATGAGGTTAGAATAAACTGTGCTACTGGGTCACATGGAAGCCATTAATTTTATCAGAGAAATCTACAAAAAGGGTGGGATTTAGCTGGGTTTCAAAGAAGGTGTTAATTTGCTGGTGAAAAATAGCAGTGCTTTTCAAAACAGAGGGAGCAGCATTTGCCGAGGCCCAGATTTGTAGAAGGAAATGCCACATTTGGGGACTTGAGCAAGAGTTTACTGTGCCTCTAACTCTAACTTAGAGTTTCTCACTCTGTAAGGTGGAAAGAGTCACACCTCTGGAGTTGTGTATGGGAAGAGGCTTGGGGGTCCTTGTACTGCACTGCAGTTATTTTAATTTAAGGTGCTCCTAACTGTTGCTGCTTTGTGCTCAAGCTAAAATGTATTTTGTTTGTTTATTTGTATTGTTTTTGATACAGGTTTTCTCTGTATAACAGCTCTGACTGTCCTGGAACTTACTCTGTAGACCAGGCTAGCCTCAAACTCAGAGATCTGCCTGCCTCTGCCTCTTGAGTGCTGGGATTAAAGGAATGTGCCACCCTTTTGAAGGCATGCAGTTTGTTTACATGTTTCTTGGGTTATTTTTAGTTGCCTAAGTCAAAATCTGGCACCAAATAGGTTCCAGACAGGTTATCTTTGTTGTTTCTATGACTTGGGTACTTGAGTATAATTGCTGAGTCATCCTAGGACAAAGGTCTTACCCTAGGACTGGGAAGTAAAAGCTTGGTGGTCCAGGCTTTTGAGTCAGCTAGACTTAGTACCATGGAGTTTCTTTGGAATGTATTTCCTGCCTCCCAACTGGTTTTTCAGTGGTGTGCATTGGATCCAGGGATGGTGTAGACCTGTATGCTTCAAGAGTGTATGGCTGAGAAGGTGGTGTCAAGAGACCACATGTTTCCTGATGGACTCC